AAAGTAACTCATCAAACAAAATCTTGCATGATTGCATTTCACAATCCTATAACAATGAATTTTACAGTTCAAAGATGAAATATGGATAAAACATAACTTCCTCACCCCCTCCCGCCCGAGTATAATCCCAACTTTGGAGTATGTTGGGGTCTATGGGAGATTGAAATGAACACAACCTTACCATTGAAAGAAACAAAGGCATTGTTGCATTTACTATCCAAATCTTCATGGAAAATCAGCAAAGGAAGCTTAGAAAATTGTTAGAATTGGCTTTTAGCTCCACTAGCAATGACCAGTTGACCACTTATGAATGTATTGAATGAATAAAAACACTGAGTTCCTAAATCTCAGTCTCAATATTTCAATGTGCATTATATGGAGTACATTGATTTAAATCTTTTCTATCGAAATCGTAATATGTTATATTGTCACATTTTGGGAGTTGGAGTGGAGTAAGTGACTAGTGGACAAGTACATATGAAAAAATGTCTAAAAAGGTACTTGACACAACTACAAAAATGGGTGCTTGGGAAGTTAGTAAATGCATGATCAGTTATGATTAGTTACCTTATCGCCTTAAGGAAGTACTGAAACATCCTAGAGATAAGTTCATCACACTCCAGATCCAACATAACAACACATAATCGGACCTTGCACACGGTCTCAATAATCATGACTCGCTTGTTAAACGATCTGCTTGACTCGTCATATAAATTCTCAAAAGATGAGACTATTAATTCAAAAATAGCCTGCATATAAAAGAAAATATAGTGTTACCTACTGATTACTATGAACATTAAAACATAAAGCATTGCTCTTGATACCTTCATCTTATCATCATCGTATGGTGCATCTGGTGCGGTAATTCTAGTAATCTCACTTAAGCAAGACGCAAGTGCAACCTTCACATCAACATTGGAATGCTTCAAAAGCACATCTTCAACCAGTGCCTTGACCAATGGAGAAAGTGCATCATGCACAGATTTAGCAGGCGATTGCTCCACTTTTGTGAGGAAAGTAACAGCTTCCTTAAGACCAGATAAAACAAAAATTAATGACATATAACGCCTACAAATAACAATTAGGTTGTTCACTTGTTAAGCATCTATGTCCTGGATTAAAAGTGCATCAATATTTTTATCGTTGAAACTTGAAACTTCTGTAGAAATATGATTAGCCCAAACCCCCAGAACTATTAACTGCACAGAAACCCACGGTTGAGGAAAAGAAAGCACGTAAAAATATTAACTAATAATATGGTATTTCAAATTCTATGATCTCATAGAGAACTTAGCATGTTCTTTTAGAACCTTATATGTAGACAGTGAAGTAAAATTCCAAATTCTAACTATTTACAAATTACAAGTATAGCCGTGATAAGAAAAAACACAATGGAAATTGTTGGTCAAAGTGGCAAAAGTACCTAAATAGAATGTTTGGCAATAAATCAGATCATACAACCTAAATAATCTTCAGAAATTCAGCTTTAGGTGTCAAACTTTAATTAAAAGAGAACTGACAAAATGTGTGTCTAAATAACAACCCCAGTATAATCCCAACTCCATTGGGGTCTATAGAGACAAGATGTACACTGTCTTACTTTCTAAACAAGAGTGTGAAAAAGTAACCCTTCATGTAAATGGCTGGTTGTGTAGGGTGTTATACTACCAGTGGATGAATTTAACAGAATGATAACCTTTCAATGAAAACATAATCAACAATAGGCCAAGAAGACATGCCTTAGAAACTTAACATGTTTCAAAACTTAATGAACTGTGAGCTGTGGGCCTTATCTAAAACATTACTAAGGTATATAATGAACTTGAATTTTTTTCCAAAACACGAGATTATGGCATGTTTTTCATTCCCATAGTGAATTCAGCAAGTTACAACATTTCAACTGGCGACCCCTCAAAGTTCAATGATAAATAAGTATTGGTTATATTATCTTATTGGATAAAGATAGGGATTTGTAAAATACAAATAAACAAAAATCCCTAGCAAATGGTATAACCGAGAAAACACCAAGATAAATTTATAGCCTGCTTTTATTTTGGTCATTCTATTTTATGACTCTTCCAATGCAAGTATTCACGTAGCAAATGAAGACATGACCCCAAACAATGAAACAACCACCAAAGCATACATACGTATATTCCAAATTTCCAACAACTACTATCTGAAACAGGAATTTACGATTGAAACTATGCAATCTAGAATTCTAGCCACTGTATATGGGCATAATGTAGAAATAATATCTTAGGAAGTATAGAAACTATTATCTCTGCTCAACAAACCGCCCAAGAAATTTGTTCAAGCAGTGTCTAAATAAGCCCCAAACACTAAATGAGAGGGGATAGCGGACTATTTCATCTTCAATCCATAAGAGAGTGACACTACATAACAAATGGGTTGTCTGTTGGCCAATTTGGAGGAGGGGGGGGGGGNAACTGACACCAAGAAAGTTGGATAGCCTGACTAGGCACCACAGAGTAGTAGCCAGAGCACTAGAACGATTGGGAACAAGAAGAAGGGTTGATTCAAGAATAAAGCTAAGTTGGGGAAAAAGGGAAAATCAAAGAAATCGATTCACTCCCGGGGATCTCCAGAGAGTGAAAAAGAAGTACATGCATGCCACCAAGAAAAGAAAATGAAATTGTAAAAAAAAAAAAACAAACCCTACGACTTACATCGAGTAAAGGGAGCAGTTCCTCGACGGACGGAGGAGGCTTAAGAAGCTTGTTTCCAGCTTCCCTCAATTGCTCCTCTATCTCCGTGGACGCTTCCATCTCTTCAAGATCTCCGACCCAAACAAACCAATCAAAAACCAGCTCCTCAGACCATTAACAACGAAACCCTAGAAAGAGAAAGAACTGCTCCTCGTCGGAGCAGAATAATTGGCGCCTATTTTTCCGTCGCGACGAGAAAGAGAGAGCTTTTGAGGGAGAGTCGGGGGAGAATGGAATGGAGCCTGAGCCGTATTCAATCGTGTCGCTTAACCCTAGAAACCCCACCCAGCAGCCACAGCCGAGGCCGACAGACGCAATTGCACGAACGCAGAAGGCAGAGAGAGAGAAAGTGAGAGAGTGATTATTTAATTTAGGAAAAAATAAATAGGGGATAGTAAATCTAGTAGTGCTTTTTTATTAACCCAAGATCTACCCCCAAAAAACATTTACTCTTTCAAAGTATACCCCAAATTTTCATTTGATGTGGATTTTATTGGATTTGTTAGGCTATGTGTAATACATTACTATCACTCATTTCAAATCAGCAATCATTCAATGTCATATCAGCATTGATTGTATTTATCATCTAACTTACTTCGTACATGCAATGTTTTACAACCACTTTAATGATTTATTTTTATTTTTTATAAATAATTACTTATTTCTATTCAAATTAAATTATACTCCGTAATAATAATTTTTTCGTTCTTATATATTTTCGTAATTATTTTTTAATTAATTAATTTTATGATTTTTTTGAAATTAAATTCTGTTGATTATTTTAAAAAATCATTTTAAATTTTTTTCCTTTTTTATGTAATAACAAATTATTGCACAAAAAAAGACAAGTAGGCCATGTAGGAATAGATGAAAAGTACGCTTATGCATTACATAAATTAAAAGAAAATACATGACGAAAAAATAGGAAATATAAAAAAAATATAGCTTTGATCACGATCACGTTTGTTCGCATATTCTTTTCTTATTTTGTGTTTCATCATCTTGACCAAGGCAAGATCACGTTCATTCGTACTGTTATACTTTGTACATAAGAACATCATGTCAATCACCATTTGTCGATTCCTTTTTATTTCGATGGTAGTCTTTTTCACCTCCAAAAGGTCAGTCGACTGCAATTCTTCCTTGTAATCGCCGCCGTCCTTGGAACCCGAAGCGACTTTCTCATTATACCAAAAAAATAAAGTTTATTAACCTTGAATTGGATCCTCCGACACATCGATCCATATTTTTGAATTGATGTGTCAGAGGATCCAATTCAAGGTTAATAACCTTGACTGTGTGCGATTAGGCTTTGTTTTTACTTATTCTTTTCAAATCGTTTGTTCTCCTTCGAGCCAAACAACCAGCTAAGATCCATGTACGATAAACAATTGAAATTGCCAAGACATATATATAGAAGGCTTCTAGGTTGTCATGGCAATCTAGACATATAAGTGGGTGAACTAGATCACCTAAAAAAGAAGAGGAAAAAAAGTGAACTCGTCAGAATTTTCTTTATGTTAGTAGTGTAAATACCGTACTAATTATTCGTAACAGTTTCTCTCCAAATCAAATGACTATCATGCATCTCAATTGTACGGAACTACGATGCACCGACAAGCAAGAACATCGTCAAAAGGGGAGGAGTAAGATATGCATTCAAGGTGATGAAGAGGATGAATAAGACATGCATTTAAGCCAATGAAGAAGATATTCACACTTTGCATAACCCTCCATCAACATCAATTGTCAGTGATCATTTGATGGTCGATGGTGATATTTTTTACTAAGTTACAATTTCATTCAAATTATGTTCGTTATATTGAAGATTATTGATCAATGAATCTTGTATTTAAGCAGATCTAAATATGGTTTAAATTTCATCTAATCTGTTATGGTTATTGTTATATTTAAAATTATTTCTAATTTAATTTCTATAAAAATAGGTATAATAATAAATAATAGGGACGGTTCCCTCTCTTGACATGCCATTGTATGACCCGAAGACTATATGGGCTATAGTGTCTTGTCCATAAAATCAACGGTGCTTATCCGACTCCGTCCCAAATCGCACTCGAACCCCTTCACTCCACCCTAGCACACATTGCAACATTCCAACCACCTTGTCAGTGGGAGAAGATTAAAAACCCTATATACGACACATACACATACACTCACACAAACACAACCATTTCTTTCTTCTCCGCAACAAATCAACTTTGATAATCAACTTTTCATTTGATGTGATAGAGGGATTTTAACATAGAACCTACAAATGTTTGAAGTTTATCCTACATGTCAATATAGAACTATCAATATGAAACTCTAAATCATCTCAAAAAAAAAAAATATAACACTAATTGAGTACCCCACCCCCATTGCTCAAAAAAAAGCAAAATCACTCCCCTTAAAGCCTTAATCCCCCACACTCAAATTGGGTGATGTAGAGGTCATTTCAGCATTTCTGAAAAAAGAAAAAAAGAAAGAAACAGATTAGGGAGAAGAGGAAAAAAACGAGTAATCATATTGAACTTTTCCCAAAATTGAACAAAAAATGAGGTGTGCATCAATCATTAGCAACCATGGCATCCAATGCAGAGCCATTCTCTACTTTCTTGATGATCAATCGGCTTTCGGCAGAAAGATCGCCACCCTTGACATTGTCGACGTCGACCACAATAGAATCGTCCTCCTTAAAATCTCCCTTCAATACTCCCAATGCCACTTCATTCTCAACCATTTGTTGGATCACCCGCTTCACAGGACGTGCTCCAAAGTTAGGGTCAAATCCCATTGTCGACAGAAAACTCAAAGCTTCTTCGGTATAGTGCAGTTCAATTTTCTTCTGTTTCAGTCGCTCTTTCACGCGGTTCACCTGCATCCACCAAGCACCAATGTGTTATACAAGTACAGAATATGAAGCCAAACAAGTTGTTTTGACATGTGAGAAGAAACGGCAATGAACATTGAACAGAAGGGCAACAATTGGTGCCCAATGAAAAGAAATGGAGATTAAAGCCCATTTGGTGAGTTTTGAAATCTGGGAGAAATGATACGTGTTTTGATATTTGAAACGAAGTTTGGAGAAATTTAAAATCATGATTTAATTAGTGATAGGCGGGGGTGACCAGCAGCGGGGGTGGTTGGCATGACAATGGTAGCCGGTGGCGGAGAATGGTCAACGGTTGAGAAATATATCAAACCCCTATAATGGTATCTCCCAAATTCGGGAGATATCGAAACCCTCCATTTGGATGATTTATGATATCTAGAGATATCAAGCTCGATATATCTTTTGGCTTCACCAAACACCAAAAAAGGGTTCTGATATCTCGAGATATCAAAACCCATATCTGTTTTACTCACCAAACACACCCTAAATGGAAGATGAAGGTTCAGACAATCTTAAGAAGCTCCGGCATACCTGGATTTCAACAATTCGGCTAACTTGCTCCATGCCCAGGGGTTGGAAGACAATGTACTCATCGATTCGATTCATGAACTCAGGCCGAAAAGTTTGTCGTGCTAAGTCAACAACCTGTTTTTTCATGAATTCATAAACAGAGTCCTTGCTGCCTTGCGAGCTCTGAAGAGTTTCAAGAATATGTTGTGAACCTATGTTTGATGTCATTATCACAACGGTGTTTGTGAAGCTAACAGTTCTTCCCTGGGAATCTGTTATTCTTCCATCATCCAACAACTGTAACAGAATGTTGAAGACATCAGGATGTGCCTTCTCAATTTCATCAAAGAGCACGACCGAGTAAGGCCTCCGCCGAACCACTTCTGTGAGTTGCCCACCCTCTTCATAACCAACATAACCCGGTGGAGCTCCAACCAGGCGTGAAACCGCGTGTTTTTCCATATATTCGCTCATATCGATTCTCAAAAGAGCATTTTCTGTGTTGAAAAGATACGCTGCAAGAGCCTTTGCAAGCTCAGTTTTCCCAACACCTGTGGGGCCCATGAACATGAAACTTGCGATGGGCCTATTAGGGTCCGATAGTCCAGCTCTCGAACGCCTGATTGCATCGGCCACAGATTTCACTGCCATGTCCTGGCCAACAACCCTGTTGTGAAGTACATTCTCTAAAAGAATGAGCTTGTCCCTTTCAGTCTGCTGAAGGTTTGACAAAGGAATTCCAGTCCACTTGCTGACAACTTCTGCAATGTCAATGTCTGTTACTTCTTCCTGAAGTAGAGAGCTTCCGGACTTCTGGAAATCAGCAAGATTTTTCTCAGCTTCATCCAGCTGACGCTGAAGAGACGTCAATGTTCCATATTTAAGTTCAGCCGCACGGTTTAGATCATACTCACGCTCTGCAGCTTCCATCTCTATGTTGACCCTATCAATCTGAAAAAAGGGGATCATTAAACAAGGTTGAATACTGAGTGGCCATTCGGTAACTATTTTCTGATAATCAGCTAGGTATTTTACTATACAAAAATTTATTTGATGGTGCACATAGAATGGGTTAATAATGAATAAAGTAGGACTGGAGGTGATATTTTTGGTCACTAGTGTGTGTGTGTGTATTTCAGCAACTTCATCAATATCACCCACAAGTTCACCCTTAACAAATACGTAGTAGGATATAAAAATTCAGGACAAATTATAACAATCAACAACTAAGAGATAAAAATGTAAGAGTGCAAGACATGAATTACCTCTTCCCTGATCGATCGTATACGAGTCATCAGTTTTTTCTCATGCTCCCACTGTTCTGTTAACTCATGTTGCTTCTGTTTTAGTGCTGTTAGGTCACCTTCCAGCTTGCTCAACCTTTCTTTAGATGCTTTATCAGTATCACTTTTAAGAGAGAGTTTCTCCATTTCTAGCTTTAGTATTGTCCTGTCTAACTCATCTAACTCGGTAGGCTTTGAAGTAATTTCCATTTTCAGTTTTGCAGCAGCTTCATCAACAAGGTCAATAGCTAAAAATATCCAAAAAGAATTTCAAAACTTTTCAGCAAAACTCACTGATGAGAATGTCAAATGAAATGTTAAGAAGATAAATAATGAGCTAAAAACTTGGGATCAATAAGATACCTTTGTCTGGTAAAAAACGTGCAGTAATGTATCTATCCGCAAGAACAGCTGCTGATACAAGAGCACTATCAGATATTTTGACCCCATGATGCAGCTCATATCTTTCGCGCAAGCCACGAAGAATGGAAATTGTATCTTCGACAGATGGTTGGCCACAATATACTTGTTGAAACCTACGTTCTAAAGCAGGGTCCTTCTCAACGTATTTTCTATATTCATTCAGCGTAGTTGCTCCAATACATCTAAGTTCACCACGGCCAAGCATTGGTTTCAATAAGTTTCCAGCATCCATTGACCCACCAGATGCACCTATTTATAAATCATAACAGAGAAGCATGTTTCAGATTTTACTTAACAGGTAAAATGGGAGGAAAAAAGTCATGCCAGGGCCAAAGGCTTTTTGAAAGTAAACTACAAGCATATAAATCCGTTGCCTAGTCGTGCTCTTCTTAACAAGATGTATTAGTATGTTGAAGTTTTAACAATATCCATAATCAAGAAAATTAAGAGATGACAAAATTACAAACACGATAATATAGGTACACATTCAAACAAGTCTTCACCCTAAGGCATGTGAAAAATAGTGAATCTTTCCAAATATCACTGATTACTGCCTTCATGGCTTTATTTAAAAGACAAGTAGGCAAGGCAAATAATTTACATACTACACTGTGAGTCCTTCATCATACTACAACTCTACAAGATAAGAAGAGCCGGAAATGTCATCCTACTTCCTATCATAGGAATGCATACACCTACACATAGAGACCGCTTGTATCCCTTCTGGTCTAAATTGTCTAAATCTTACTTCTTACACATATGAACTTTAAGGCAAGCAAAGGTGTTGTGAGAATTTCAAAGATTGGAATGATAAAAGTAGAACAATCAAGATGTGCGGCATTCTGGGGTTCCCGAAAAAAGAATGACAGTGAATCCAGATTTGTGTTCAAAAAGGTAGTATAACCTTATAGATTAAAGAAAAAAATTAGTAATATAAAACAAAAAAGAATGGGGGGAACAGATGAATAAATTTTACCTGCACCAACGACTGTGTGAATCTCATCAATAAACAATATAATTTGTCCATTTGAAGCAGTTACTTCCTTTAGTACAGCTTTTAACCTCTCTTCAAATTCTCCACGGAACTTGGCACCAGCAAGAAGTGCACCCATATCCAAGGAAATCAACTGTACAATATGAAAAAGATTGCCATAAGCTTACATATACATGACCAATTAATATGAAACTAAAATAATACCGAGTATGCAAAAATAAACTTAGCCTATTGAATTCAGTCCAAATGATAACAACCTTTCGATTCATGAGAGGTTCTGGAACATCTCCACGGACTATCCGTTGTGCCAACCTAGTGTCAATAAAGCACAGCTTCATTACACATACTTCAAGATAGAATGTTTCTTTACAAACTTGACAAAACATCTTGGTCTGAACTCGTTTAAAAGAGTCATGGCATTTTTATCACTTTTTAAGTGGCAACTACAAAAAATACAACTTCGATCTTTTTTTTTAATTATACAGTGTTGCATAATTGATTTATTTGATGCAGAACATTACAGCCAACTCTTCTTTAAAGAGATAGATAAAAAGAATGTGCTTAAATCAAGATAAATGACAGCAAACATGTTAGGAAACATGCTTCTGCTGAAGATGACATGAGGAGGGGATACCCCCCCCCCCCCACCACGCACACACACAAATGATAATAATGGCACTCCTTGCTCCTTATGTCCCTTCATTTCAATTTATGATGTTTGACCACAATGATTTTCCATTCAGTTTCTTTAAATATTGGTGCAAACTTTAAAATTAATATAAAAAATACATGTTCAAAAACCACATGAAAAGTTCTATAAGACAAGTGGTGACAAGACTTTTATAGTAACAAACTAACAATGATTAAAGTAAATAAATGAAAAAACATAAATATACCTTGATCTTGTGAATAGTGACTTAAAAGTTTTATTTGGGACGGAGGAAGTAATAAAATTCAAAACAATGTAAATTTAATGCATCAATTTGGTGTAATTTGTGTGTGCATAAGTAATTTTTTTTACTACGGAATATCTAACATGACTCCAATTATCTAGTTACTCTTATCTATAATTGTACAAAAGATGATCAGAAGAAGACACCTAAAGTAAAAGCAACGTATGAATAAGCAATTATACCCTTCAGCAATTGCAGTTTTTCCAACGCCAGGCTCACCAATAATAACAGGATTATTTTTTGTTCTCCGGCTCAAAATTTGAATGCAGCGGCGTATTTCATCATCACGGCCTATCACTGGGTCAAGTTTTCCACGCTTGGCCAATTCTGTCAAGTCAATCCCATATTTCTCAAGTACCTCGAACTTTCCCTCTGGATCTGAACAGAATTAAGAATAATATAACTTGCAGCACATGAGGGAAATTAGAAACTGAATTCTATAATATTTCAAGGATGAAAGTAAAACAATTCCATCTACATGGGTATGCTATGCACATACTTTGGTCGGTTACTCTCTGATTTCCACGAACAGCTTTAATAGCTTCCTTTAAAGATTTCTCACTAAGTTGCAGGTTTCTAAATAGTTCCCGTCCAAATCTAGTGTCTGAATGCAAAGCCAACAACAAGTGCTCAACAGACACAAAGGAATCCTGCATTTCTTTTTTATATTTCCTTGCATTTTCTAAGAGGGAATAAAGATGGGGGCCAATAACTTGACCACTAGTATCGCCGGTCACCTGCAAGAAAAAGAAGAATAGTTTACATGAGGCATTAGAACTCAGAAGAACATTTTATTTTCTATAAGAAATACTAATAAATAAGAACACAGTTTTTTGCGTCTCTTGTCCGTACCTTAGGCTGCTGATATATAAATGTATCTGTGGCTTGCAAAACTGATGTGTTGTCCAGACCAGCTTTAGTGAATATTCTCCGAGCTAATCCATCCTTCTGTTCCAGAAGGGCTTTCATTAGATGCTCTGTTTCAACCACTTGTTGTTTGTTGTCTCGTGCTGCATTTACCGCTCCAACAATACCCTCAAAAGCCAACTCAGTATATTCTGAGTTGCTTATCTGCAAAATGGATATGATTTTGAGATACAAATCCACACGTGTATCACATCTTAGGGAGTAACCTTAACTAACCACATAATAATAAGCAGGAAATAAACAGATATTCAAGATTTTTAGCACAGGTCTGTACTTTTATGCCTGAAGATCAGAGAACAAAAACATCCGTCTAACTTCAATTTCTTATTTCAGAGTTCCATTTATCAAATGGCCACGAGAGAAAGGATGGGAGAAAATCATTTGAGAGGCAATGCAAAATGGCCGGGATAGAGTAATTTTTCCTCGCTACAGAATACCAGATGAAAAATTTTATATATAGACCTTGCTTTTAAAGTTCATTGCTCAACTCACAAAATGGATTTTCTTTGGGAATGACTGGTTCTTATCACATTCTGTGGCACCACACTCCATGGAATCTCATGTTACCTAATAGAATGGCTTGTCATTGGAGATGATTGGTTCATGTTATCATCTTAACATATATATTGCCTCTTACCATGGATTTTAGGGGAAAACATCAAACAAAAGGCATAGAAAAGGCATTATAATGGAATTTCACATTGCATTTAAACCAAACTACAACAACGAACAAACTTGTAACGAATTCAATAGACAAATGACAACACATAAACAAGAACGCATTAAAAAAACAAGACTATTAACCTGGCCAGAGCTAGCAGCAGAGGTGGAGTAGGCGCGGCAATCAAAATTCCTCCCAAACCCAACCTCCTTCAAGCCCGATTTCGACATGCTCCAGGAAGCTCCAACACTCTCCGCCACAGCCGCGAGCAACGGGTGAGTTCGGGAGGCATTCAATCCGTCCATAAACGAAACCTCGGCGGCTGCGCGCGAGGCCGCGTAGCGAGATTGGGCCAGAGACCGGTTGCGGGAGGCCCTGAATTCCGCGAGAGCCGACCGAGTCAGCCTGGCAGTGGAGGAGCTCCTCGACGACGCCATGGCAATACGTGCAGAGATCAATTGCGCAGAGCTGGAGTGACAGTTCTTCACAAAGCGCGAGCGGATTCGCGATGGGCGCTGTAGAGATGGAATGGAAGCATAGTGAAAATGGAAGAAGAAAATGTCGTAGTGAACAAGAAATGAAGAAAATGTAGAAGGCTGTAGAAGCAACTGGAAAACTGAGAACGGTAACGACTAAAAATTGGGTGGTGCCATGGACCCACGAATTCCACACCAATACACTTTTAAATCAAATAAAGCAGATTCATTTTGTGTTAAAACAAAAAAACAAGTCTTATAAATTGAAAAATTAAAAACTCAATTTTAAAATTTAAGATTAAATAGTAAAAACTAACATTTGAAAAATGAAAACTTAATATTAAAAAATTAAATATTAAAAATATAAATTTAGAACTTGACAATTGAAATTTTAAAATTTAAAGTTAAATTTTAAAATTAGATATTTAAAATTTCAATTTTAAAATATGAAACTTAAAATTTAAGACTTTGGATTAAAAATCTAAAATTTAAGATTTAATAATTTAAAATTAAAAATAAAATATCAAAATCAAAATTTGAAATTTAAAATTTACAACTAACTGAAAATATTAAAAACTAACTTAAAATATAAAATTTAAAATTTGAATTTTAAAATTTACAACTACAAATAATAAAATTAAGATTTAAAATTTAGAGACTAAAATTCAAAATTTGAAAATTAAAACTCGTAGTTTAAAATTAAGAATTGAAGAATAAAACTTTTAAAAAATTAAAACGGAAACATAAAATTCAAAATTTAGAATTTAAAACTAAAACTCTAACATTAAAAATTAGAAATTTAAAGAAATTTTAAAATTTTAAATTTTGAATTCTAAATTTTAAATTTTATATTTTAAATTTTAAAATTTCAATTTATATTTTGAATATTAAAAACTTTTAAATTTAAATGGAAAATAGCTAAGGTTTGAATGTGTTTGAAAACAACTAGGGTTTTAATTTGGTTTGAATTATTCTATTGTGAGAAATTTCTAAAGTACAACTCTCTTTGAATTTTATATGCAATTTGATGTTATCAAATAAGGAATTGGGCGATCTGGAAAGCACGCAATAAGGCGGTTTGGGAGAGGCAGGTGCCCACGCCTCAGTCCACGGTGTGTTTGATCCGGAAGCTGTGCAAGGAGTGGCATGAGCGGGCTGTGCCGGAGGCTACTGCAGGAGCAGTGGCAGGGGCTGTGCGGGCA